TTTCATAGCATGCTAGGTTTCAGGAGGTTAGGTGGAAAAGGAAAAAAACTGCTACACAACACACCTTTGGGAGTATTGTTAGAAAAACTGAATTTGTTTAGTGTGAACCTAGAAGTTTCCTTTCCAAATAATGAAATATGTCATTGCAGTATTTTAAAATTGTTATGCATTCAACATCCTTTGAATTCTCCTGGCAAACAGTTTAACAATAAGAGATCCTGGGCTTAATTTAATTTGGGGTCCTATTCTTGCCAGCAGAAAGGGTGGTATGAATAAGGTCTTATTGGGCATTTATTGCACTGAAGACAAAACATTTTATGTTCTTTTTTTTAAAATGACTGGCAGACAATGCTTAGAAGAATTGATGTAATTGCATTTGATAAAGATTTAGATAGGTCTCTTTGTGGGTTAATATATTGTGGTTTAAAAGATCTGCATGCCTGTATTTAGGTGGCAACAAAGAAAAAGTGATTGTGTAAAGATCAACTCAAGACTTCAGCTTTGGTATGTGCTTCTTGAATATGGAGGCTGCAGCACCTACTTTCCTTGTGACATATGTGCAGTGGTGTCCTAATCAAAGTTATCTCCTGGGCCTGGGTCCAGTTTACCTTAAGCACCAGTGTTACTGCATTTTCATTTGATGTTGCAATGTCCTGAAACATTCATATAGTTGTTAGTTCCCTTTCTCCTTCTGGAACACAGGGATCAGGTTCTGAAGTTTACTTCTCAGTAAACAGCGAACTTTTACAAGGACTCACATGCCTGTAAAATTCTCAGGATGTTTAAGGCAATCTGCCATATTAGTCTCTGTCCAATGTTGCCACTCTCATTTTCATCTCTTACTAAAATCAAGACAGTAGAGATCAAACCAAAGATTAGACAAAGCATCTAATTGTTTCTGTTTGTCCTATACACAGATAAAGCAAACTGTGGGGGGGTCTGACACCAAAACGAAGTGCTTGAGTTAAGGAAGCTTTTTCTTCCTGACACCTTCTGTTTTCACAGTCAGCCCCTTCAACTCCCATCATCCACTGCTGTTACACCAGAAGAAAGCTTGTGAGACCAACTCTCATTGTGATTGCCCTTTGTCAACTTATCTGAAGCAGTAAGGAGCAGTCTCCAGCCGAGAGAAAAACAACCTTTTTCAGTTTTGTAAGCAATTTAATCTATGTACGTATAGTCTCCACTACAAGAAGGCATATCAAAATATTTCAAAGAATTAAATTTTGAAGGAAATCAGTAAATGGCTTTTGAATATTGCCTTTTTAATGACAACTTGATTCACACCGATTCTAGGATCAAAGGATACTCTTTTTGAAGTACCTCTGAATATTGTTAAGACGTTTTGCTTTTTAATAATCAAAACTGAAGTCAGATAGGTCCGGTGATCTCCATACTTCCCAATGAGCGCCATATAAACCTAGTAATTGTCATTCCAAGAGAGAAAAGAAAAACTGAAAGCATCTTGTTCATAAAGATACTTACTTGACATATAAATACAGTAGGACCCCCATGTCCATAGGGGATTGGTTCCAAGGCCCACTACAGATAGTGAAAAGCATGGATTATAGCTAACACAGTCTGTCAGACCCAGGACTCCCCTGTACCTTTATCTTGATAGGGCTTCTATGAGTAACAGCAGAGTTGAAATCTTCTCTCCTTTCTCTGCTGAAGACTGAAGAAGACTTTCTTCTCTCTCATACACAGTCTCAATGGCTCTAAGGGTTTTCTTCAAAGACAATGAAGGACCCATTCCCTTGTTTTGCCTGGGGGTCTTGAGGAAAGGACTAGCTGGAAGGCAGGAAGGGGTGGGAGGTGGAAAATCTCTCCCAGGGGGCAGTTTGGCTTCAGGCTTGCATTCCTCCTCCTGCCTCACCAGCCAATCCAGCTCTGAGTTTTAAAACTATGACACTGCTCTGGAGGGAAGCTGCCTCAAGCTGCTGGGAGACCAGGGGAAATGATGGTGGTTCCCTCCAGTGGCCAGTCCGATAAGTATACCTTACATCCACATTTGTAGGTACAGTATTTTCATTTTATATTTTTAGTACATATCTGGAAGTTGAGTCATGGCAACTGGACTTCTTATTAGGTTGAAACATTCCGCTACTCTTCTAAGTAGCTTCTTCAGCCTGAGGAATGTTGGTAGGAGACCCTTGATATATCCTACATATTATATCCTCAACTTCCAAATAACCTCACCTGGATGACTGGAAGTCTTCACAGATTTTTAGTACATATATTCAGCCAGCGGATAGGTGAATCAGTGGATATTGGTCCAGTGGACAGGGGGATCCTACTGTAGCAGAACTCTGGACTCATGGGCTGGTATTCTATTCACACAACTATACCTGTGTACAACTGATGATGTCATCACTAGAGGTGTTTTTTTAAACACTTCTGTCCTGTGGCTCCTATGTAATCCCTTACATTGGCTAGAAGCCACAGACACTGTGAAAAAGAAAGAAATCTTTAATTATCAAAAATTGCAGCCATCAGTAGTTACTAGAGCATAGTTACACAAAAACAATGTAAGTCACTGCGTTGCAGTTTCCAATATATTTCTGTATACGTGGGGGCGCTGATAGGTATTGAGCCTTTCCCAGAAAAAAATTGAACTAGGAAGCTGGAACTGCCACACTATTTTACATATTCCCCCAAGAAGTCAATGCACTTGCGACATCTGTCCTGCAGCTTCTTAAGTCCCTGCAAATAAAATTCTTCTGACTGCTGGTGTAACCACTCATTTGCAGCATTAGTTGCCTCCAGAACACTCCCAAATCGTTGTCCCTTTAGGTGTTTTTTGAGTTTGGGGAACAGATAATCGTCAAAAGGAGCCAGGTCAGGAGAATAGGATGGATGGGGCATCATTTGAAAGCCTAAGGATGTCAGTTTTGCCATTGTTTCACCTGCAGTGCGTGATGAGGCTGTAGTGTTCACGCTAAGTTATGCAATAAGATATGTGTTATCTGTGAGTTATATGCTAATGTGGTTAAGAGGTGGGGCCACAAGAGATGCTGAAAGGCGGAGCCTGAGAGAGGAGGAGACAGTTGAGTCTGAGTTCAGTCTATGTTAGGAATCAGAGAGAGAAGGATAGTTTGGGGTCTGAGGAGTGATTAGTCTGAGTGTAAACTGTGAAAATTACTACAGAAGTTTAATATTGAAGCTTGAGGAAACTTGAAGAATGTGCTTATGAATTGTTCCAGAAACCAACTGTAATCAATAAACCAGTTCTATTAAAAAGTCAGCACTGAATGGACCTTCGTCTTTTCTAAGTAAAGTAAGTTGTTAAGGAGATCAACTGGTGGCAGTGTGTCCAGAGATGCTTTGGTTTGCCTTTGTGAGCTCTGTGTTTAGTGAGACAAACAGGGGCCACGAGGGCAAACGCCACAGAGGCGTTGTCATGCAACAGGATGACACATTTGGAGAGCTTTCCTTGACAGTTTTCCTTGATGTTTTGTCTCAACTTCATCAATAAAGCACAGTAATATTTTCCATTGATGGCTGAACCCTGTTGGAGGTAGTCCACCAGCAGAACTCCCTTCCTATCCCAAAAAACTGTTGCCATTTGTTTCTGCACTGACCTTTGCACTAGGAACTTCTTTGGCCTGGGGGAACAACTATGCCTCCATTCCTTAGTCTCAGGGTCATAACAGTAGATCCATGTCCCATTACCAGTTACCAGTTTGCCCAGGAAATCTGACTCATTTCTTGCAAAATGTTCCAAAACAGCCACCAATGACTCCACATGTTTCCTCTTATGTTTGGCTGTCAAAAGTTTGGGGATCCACTTTGCTG